CATACACTTTACCTAGTATATTTAACAGGCTTATTTCCCTATAATGCTTACTCTCTCTTTTGTCCCCTTTTCCTTTATACAAAGGAGCTGTTATGCATAACCTCTGCCAATCCCTAGGTACCTTCCCCTTTTTCATTTTTTTTTTTTTAACAAGTCGGCTGTCTCCCACCGAGGCAGGGTGACCCAAAAAAGAAAGAAAATCCCCAAAAAGAAAATACTTTCATCATCATTCAACACTTTCACCACACTCGCACATTATCACTGCTTTTGCAGAGGTGCTCAGAATACAACAGTTTAGAAGCATATACATATAAAGATACACAACATATCCCTCCAAACTGCCAATATTAAATAAATTAAATAAATTATTAAATAAATGCATAAACCACTCAAAAATTGCATCCCCACCTGTTTTTAACATTTCTGTCTTAATTCCATCAATCCCATCAAAGGAATCCTGACATTATTAATTGAAGTGTAAGCTGTGAATGATTCATAAAAATAAGTTTGGTGCCATCTAAGTACAGTTCATTTAAATTAGGAATTACAAATGCAAAATATCTGAAAATCATTGTAAACTAATATAATATGCAAATCCTCTTGAATATTATAATATGCTTATCATTTAATATGTAAACCACACATTGTAATCTATACAGAGAAATAAACATTTGAATTTGAATTTGAATTGTGAAATTGTTACATTGGAATATTTGAGAGCTTAATTACGACTTTGCCTTTCTTAACCCTTTGAGGGTCCATCCCATAGTTCTACAGCTTTGAAGCCAGGGTCCAAGCCGTAGTTCTACGCCATGAGCTCAGTTCACTTATATAATCTGTGAGCAGTAAATTTGGACCTAGATATGAAAGAATGCATCTATGTGGTAAGGGTGCACCATATAAAACAAATCCTGCAGCACGCAGTGCATAATGAGAAAAAAAATGCGACTGTGTTTTTGGATTAAAACAGCGACTTTATGGAGTATATTCACATGTTTTTTATAGTTGTATTTGTGGTTTCTTGGTCTCATTTGATAGAAAGGAAGATATATTACAGAAATAGAGATGATTTTGATTGGTTTTAATGCTCAAAATGGCTTGAAACTGAGCTCAAAGTAGCAGAAATGTTTGATTTTTGCCGATGTTCAAGAGTAAACAAATGAAGTCATGTGTCTAATACACATCAACTGGTGGGTCTAATGTGTGTTCGTGAATGTGCTGATATTATTTATACAATTATTACAATGTTGCATAACAGTAAATCATCTATTTTTTGGTGTGAATAAAAATTCATAATGTGAATAAAAATTCAAAATGGAATTTATTTGTAAAGCCTAGAAATGTAACTAATAAATAGAGGAAATGTTATTTTAGTGCCAGGAATGCCTACATTGTTAATCCTGGACCCTGTTTTGAGATTGGAATATTTTGAACTTTGTGTGAAATTGGCCAAATTACCACTTTCCGATCGTTTTATTGGGTAGTTACAATAGTTGATTGGGTGATTTCATGTGCTCAACCGATAAAATAGAAGTAATACTAGTGAAACAAATAAGAATTTGGTTCGACTGGAATAATGTAATTTTCCTAAAATGGGAGTCAAAGTGGGCAAAATTGCCAATGCATAAATATCACTGACGCAGCAAAATTTGTGAGAGCGTAATTTCATCATTTTTTCCATCAAATTTTGTAATTTTTGTTTCATTACCTTCAGAAAAGATTCTCTACCATTCCATAAGAAAAAAATAACAAAAAATGTTTTGAAAATTCTTGGACCCTGTGGACAAGTTTAAGATCGGGGGTCTGGACCCTGAAAGGGTTAATATCATCTAAGAATTACCCATTTTTTCAAGTCTTTATCAATTGAATCTATATACGTATGTACAATAAATTGAAACTAGATTAAGATGTATGCAAATTATACATATCTGCTGTAGATGCAAATAATTATTTATCTTGTAGTACAGTATAATTTTTTGTGACTATAAGCCATAAAGTATAGTGATATAGCAGTGTAACCTATGCTAAAATTTTAAATCTTAAAATTTCATATTTGAGAAGAAATAAGGAAAATGCAGGTTGCAAATAAATAAAAAAATGCCACAGTGCATAGAAAAAACCTAAGTACTTTAATGTGCTTATACACATATCTTCAGAGAAGATGTGTATGAGCACATGCAAATGTACTCACACACAAAATTTCATGTCTATGATGGTTTGTGTTGTTACATTTATAATTATTTTCTTCATACAACAGTCGGAGTCTTCCATCTACTCTAGGCCTATCTCCCAAAAATAAAAATCCCCAAAGCAAATACTTTCACATATTCAGGCCTAATAAAATGCACTATCACTGATTTGCTGATTCAAATACACATGCTAGAACTTATACACAATAAAGATACACAAAATCCCAAACTGGCAGGATATTCCCATGACCCTCTTTAAGTAGCTTGTACTTCCATTTCCAGGACTCAAGTCCACGACTATTGATCACCGATTTCCCTATAGAGGGACTCCCTCAACTACCTATTACCATGTCTACACTCCACAATCAGACAGCCCAGTACCATTCGTCTACCAATCTGCATCTAACACGTCTTCCCCTGCTAATCACCCCTTACCCCCCCCCTTTACCCCCTTCTCCAACTTCAGTTGGATACCGCTCCCACCATAGGATTTAATGCTTTCCTTGTCTCTTCTCTTTATCCATTCCTCTAAATGACTCCCCACCTCCAATTCTTCGCCTTACTAATACTTAAACTCCACACTTTCTATTTCACGAACTCGACATTCTAGCATATCATCTCTCACCACACATTGCCCTTACGACTCTCCAGTCACCGTCTACCATCACTGTAATTACCCCAATTACACCAAATATACATGGTGTTGGTAAAAACTTACTATAACTTGTCATACCTCCCTTCTTTCCTTCCATGGATAACTTTGACCTACAGTTCCCTCTTAACTCACTCATATAATGGATCACCTATCACAAAATAAAGAGGGAAAATTTAGGATCCACTGATAATAGACTCAAATTTCATACACATATATCAAATTTCTAGAAATTTCCAAGACTGTAGGCATACTATCGAAGATACGGTCTATGTCCACGTAGCCTCCTGGCCCTATATCCTCTTATTTCCCTATCTCACCATATGGAATTTGTCCATGGGGCTCAACAACAATAACCATCTCAGACCACTAATTACTCCAACAAATGGCCAGTTAGATGTTAACAAATTTTCCTCAGGCGCACACTCCACCAACTATTCAATACACTACAACCTACTCACCATCAAAACATCCATACTTATTACTGCACTATCATACTAGAAAACTTAACTCTGAATTAACCTCCCTCAAATCTCATGCCAACCTCCAAAAAACTTAAAAACAAGAAAACACTTTGATGTTTTTCCTTTTTTCAAAAAAGAAAAAACCCTAAAATCATTTTTAAAACTACCCCAACCCTTTTAAACCCCCCCTTTTACTCATCTTGCACTATCCCACCTTTCTGCCATAGTCGTTTATATCTCGCCCGAACTTCCCCCCCCCCTTAGTTTATCACTTTCACCTCCCTCTTACTTTTGTTGCCACCTTCCCTTTCCCCCATCAAACCTCTTACCTAACTTACTACAACAAAAATAATGATCCATATATCAGTTGCCCTCTTAAACATGTACATCCGGACCCCCCATAACCTTTTATCCCCCAAATTAATTTTAAAAAACCCTTTTTCCATTACGTGCACATCATCCCTTTTTAAATTTATTTATCCCTTTTTCATAAAATATTTAATTACTTATTACCAAAATTTCTTTCTACAATAGTAAATTTAAAAGGCCCCCTTTTACTTTTCCCCCTGGCCCCCCAAAATTTTCCTACTATTCCCTCCAAAACATTTTTCCCCACTTTAGCATTGAAATCTCCAACACCATTACTCTCACACTTGATTAAAAACTCCCCACGCATTACTCAAATTTCCCAAAATCTCTCTCTCCCTCTACATTTCTCTTTTCCAGGTGCATACACGCTTATTATAACCCATTTTTCACTCCAATCTTTATTTTACTCCACTTAATCCTTGAATTAATACATTTTGTCCCTCTTTTCCGCCATAGTTTATCCTCAACATTATTGCTACCCCTTCTTTAGCTTAACCTATTTGAAACCCCTGCCCTAATCCCATTTTTCCTCTCCACTGAAATCTCCCCCCCCCCTTCAGTTTTGTTTCACTTAAACCCAAGGACACCCACTTCTTCTCATTCAAAACATCCACAATCTCTCTTTCTATCCTGCACAACCCCACGCACATTCAGTTTTCCCACTTTGACAATTTTCTTCTTCTTATTTTTTTATTAATTTTTACGGGAAAAGGGGTTATAGCCCATTGTTCCCCGGATTTTATTACTTTTACAAACGATGGCTTTCGGGGGAAAGATTCTTTTCCCCTTCCCCATGGGTATAAAAGGAAAATTAAAAAAGACCAAAAAACTATTAAAAAAAATCAAAGAAAACTCAGATGAGTGTGTATGAATAAAAGTGTAATGTATTGTATGTGACCAAATGTAATAGAAAGCAAAACGTCCTGTAAATTTTCATTTTATGAGAAGACAAAAGACATCAGCAATCTACCATCAGTAAAACAATTACAGGCTTTCGTTTTAACTCACTTGGCAGGGGCGGAGTACCTCCCGGGTGGTTGCTGTTACCAACCACCTTACTTTGTGGTACCATTTATAAATCTTATGAACAACATGTAGTTTTCCATTGGGTTTTCAGAAAAAAAATGTTGAATTCATAAAACCCTCCGTAATTTTTTTAAAAAATTTGCAAAAAATTCTTTTCTTTTTTAACAGTTGTTGGGAAGGGTTTTGAACTTTTGCAAGTTCAGGGACTATTGTATAGAGATTTCTCCCTGCAGAAAATTTTGAGCGTTCCTCAGCCCGGAGCTCCCGGAAGTAAATTTTAAAATCACCTATACCTATAAGGAAGGGCCTACAACCTGTAGCAATGGCAAATGTTATTACCCTACAGAAGCCTGCAACTTTAAAGATGACTGTGGAGATGGAACAGATGAACGGGACTGTAGTTAGTATCTAAGTTTTAAGTTAATTATTAAATATCATGTTTTTGCTACACCTAACCCATGCAGTCTGTTTTATTTACTTGCGTAATATGATACAATATAAGTTTATCATATCCTGTAATTTGCCTTATTACTGAAACTGTAGCAGGTAAATATAAAAGTTTTTTCATCCACTATTTTGGGAAGAAAATATTGTATTCACTACCCAGTCCTCTCTGAATGTTCTGTCTCCCACCAAGGTAAGGTGACCGAACAAAGAAAACACTTTCACCGTCTCTCATTTAATCAGTGTCTTGCCAGAAGGTCACTGATATCACAGTTCAGATGATGCTCCAAACTGCAGCATCAAAATAACATCAGAATAGCTTCTAGTGTAGAATGTTAAAATATATATGAGGTATTAGTTTCTTTGAACTGCATCTTAAATCAGGAAATGGAATATGAGAAGCCTGTCACACAGCTTACAGTATCTTCAGTGTAGAAGAATATTTTAATAAATTTAGATTTTGTTTTAGATTTTGCCACCAAAGTGCCTAGTTTATTGTGCACCCCATGTCCATCCTGTGGACGGTAGCGCAAGAGCATATGGATGAACAAAAAGCCTAGGAACTAGGCCCTAAAGGGTTAACAGGAGTACATATGGATTTATGTCTACATATCTATAGTTCACTTATCTGTTAAAAGCAAATTTAGAAAATTTGCTTAGTATATCTGGTATCTTATTTTCATTAATAAGATATCTTGACATGTCACATAGGTTATTATACTGTTTATCTCTGTATTCCTCAATAAGTGGACAATTAAGCACATAGTGTTCAAGACAGTGACCATATGCCTGATCACATAATTTGCATTTAGTTTGATCATCATCTGTGTGTCTCCCAAACTGCTAGAAGTACTTGTAACCAAGCCTAAGCCTGGCCACTACAACATCAGTCAGTCTGTTCACATTGCAAGTTGCTCCATAAACATACTTATCTATGTTCATGTTATCATAGTGGGTTATAGATCTACTCAGGCTTCTAACTGCATTCCTGTAACAATCATTTTCATTATTTACTTCTCTCCTAATATTATTCCTAATGCTAGACACATATATAGCAAAGTCATATTCTTCATTCTCCTTCTGGGTACTCTTCTTGGCTAATATATCAACTTTATCATGAAGGAGTAATCCAATGTGTGATGGGATCCATAGCAACTGTACATTAATTCCTTTGTCCCTGATTTTTGAGTATTTATACCTGGCTCCTCCAATGAGCATGTTGTTGGAGTCATTATATGAGTTAAGAGCATTCATTGATGACAGAATCAGTAATGATGATAGAGTCAAGCTGAGTGTCATAAGTTAGCTTAGCACTATTAGGATTGCAAACAGTTCAGTTTGCAATGTAGACACCTAGTTTTTAGTTCTTATGCCTAACTCAACAAATTTATTATCGTTCTTAACTAGGGAGATGGCAACAAGAGTAGATGCAGCCCTGCCAGAAGACTCCGGTTTAGATCTATCAGTGTATATAATAAATATAGTGCTAAATTTGAGCATTTTAAAGTTAATATTAAAAGTTTTGAGGTTTTATGTAACATGATGTGTAATGAAGGTGGGAAGTAGAGTACCTGCACTCTGAAGGAGGGGGTGGGGATGTTGTAGCTTGGAGAACCATCTGTACTGTTATGTCATCAACCTTCTGACAAGACAGTGATTTAATGAATGACAGTGAAAGTGTTTCCTCATTTTTGGGTCACCCTACCTCAGTGGGAGACAGCTAGTGTGTTAAAAAAAAAACGGATAACTTACACACTAAAATTAACCAATTAGTTTGAAAGGGAAGTACAGTGATACCTTGACTTACAAGTGCTCTAACTTACAAGTTTTCCGAGTTACGAGCCATCGCTCGGTTGATTTTTTGCTTTGAGTTGCAAGCTAAAATCTAAGTTACGAGTGAACTTCAGATATGCTGCTACTAGTTGGCGCAGCGAATGCCACAACACCCACCCAGCATCCCAGGTCTAACTCACCATGGAAGCAGCTCTCTTGTGTTGTGCTTGCATTTTGTGCTTTTTGTGCAGCTATTTTGCCAAATTTCTTTTTTCTACCCATGGGTCCTAAGAAAGTAAGTACGAAGGACAGTGCTGAGAAGAAGAAGAGGATGATGGCCACTGAATTAAAGCATGAAATCATAGAAAAACACAAGTGAGGTGTGCGTGTAGTCAACTTGGTGAGGCCATACGAGTATACTGCCTCCGCCAGCATTTTCCATTAGCTCAAGTCGTCTGATCTCCAATTTATTTCTTTACATTTTTTTTTATTATGTTTTATTATATTTTTATACAATATTTCTTATTTATAAATACAGCCTCTCCTCACTTAACGATAGAGTTCCATTCCTAAGACCATGTCGGTAAATGAATTCATCGCTAAGTGAGGAGCATACTATAATGGTAGTGGGTTTGTGTCAACTATCTTTGATACTGTTTTAATGTCACCTTTGCAACATTGATAACATCTCTGGTATATTTTTAAATGTTTATATAGTAGTATACTGTATATTGTAATAAACAGAAGAGAGGAAATCAACTCTAATATGCATAATTTAGGCATGCACACTGGTCAGAGAGCCCATTGTAAGTCAGAGGCATCAGTAAATGAGTATGTCACTAAGTGAGGAGAGGCTACACATTTTTCTTATTTAAAAATCTGTAACAAAAAAACTGAGGTGGTTTTTTGGGGGGCTGGAATGGATTCGTGGCATTGCAGTTAATTTCAGTGCGGAAAATTGATTTGATATATGAGCAAATTGAGTTACAAGCTGGGTCACAGAACGAATTAAACTTGTAAATCAAGGTATGTACTTCTGTATTGGTGAAAAAATATATTTTATTCTATGCATTATAAGCAGAAAGCTCCATTGTGTTTCTTTATGAAAGTAATTGCTTATTAATATTTTAGCCAAGAGTTGTGATTTTGAAAAGGAAGACTTGTGTGGCTGGTTTGAGAGTAGTGCAAACTCCATTCACTGGATCCGGTCAGGCTTCCCAGCTTTACCACCTGGTCCTTTGGCAGATCACAGTCACTCTAATGTTACACATGATCTTGTCACTTCAAAAAATGAGGTAAATTTGTAAATTGTTACCAACAGTGCTGTATCTTTAATTATAAAGAGAGTTATTCAAATGTTTTGGATTAAATTGTATTATGCTACATAAACAGTCATTTAGAAAATGTTATTAATTCACAAAGCAATCACTGTATTTTTCCCTGCTGGACAATATTGATATTAATTTCTTGTATGTTGGGGACTCTTTGGTCCTTGGAGTAACAGCAGTTTCGTACTTTTGGTCTTAACCCTTTCAGGGTTGTGACACCTGCTTTTAGACTTGCTCACAGTCACAAAATTTGAAAAAAAAAAAAAAAATCTTATGAAATGATAGAGAATCTTTTTCTGAAAGTAATAAAACAAAGTATGAAATTTGATGAAAACCTTACGGAATTATGCTCTTTCAAAGTTAGTGGTCTTAACAATATTTAATGCATCAGCAATTTTTTGTAAATTCCATTGTTCCATTCAACCAAACTCATAGCTATTTAGCTAATATTCCTTCTGTTAAAAAAAATAAAAAATTAAAATTCTTTATTTCTTAGTTAACTCTTTGACTGTCGCGGCCGCATATATACGTCTTAGGAGGTACTGTGTTTGACGTATATATACTCATAAATTCTAGCGCTTCAAATCAAGCAGGAGAAAGCTGGTAGGCCCACATGTGAGAGAATGGGTCTGTGTGGTCAGTGTGTACCATATAAAAAAAATCCTGGAGCGCGCAGTGCATAATGAGAAAAAAAAACTCCGACCTTTTTTTTTTAATTAAAATGCCGATTTTGTGGTCTATTTTTGTATAGTATTTATAGTCGTATTCTCGTTTTCTTGGTCTCATTTGATAGAATGGAAAACATATTATAGAAATAGAGGTGTTTTTGATTGGTTTTACTATAAAAAGAACCTGGAAATGGAGCTCAAAGTAGGGGAAATGCCAATGTTCAAAAGTAAACAAATGATGTCATTGTCCAATAAATGTCCAACTAGCCATTCTAATATGCAGTCATGAATGGGTTGATGTTATTTATACAATTATTACAGTATTGCAGTAGTCTGCATAATAGTAAGTCTTCTATTTTTGTTTGAATAAAAATTCAAAATAGAAAGCAAGAGTAATATCAGAGGAGCCTGGAGACATGACTGATGAACAAGGAAAATGTTATTTTAGAGCCAGGAATGTCTGCATTGTTCATTCTGGACCTAATTTTGAAATTGTCATATTTTTTAATTTTCGTGAAATTGGCCAAATTGCAAATTTCTCACGACATTATTGGGTAGTTGAAATCGGTAAATGGGCAGTTTCTTGTACTCAATTGATAGAAAAAATGGAGTTCTAAAGAAATAGCTATGAGTTTGGTCGACTGGAACAACGGAATTAGCCGAAAATAGGGCTCTAAGTGGGCAAAATCGCCAATTTGTAAATATTGCTGAGGTCACTAACTTTGCGAGAGCATAATTCCATCAGTTTACCATAAAATTTCGTTTTTTTTTTTTGTGTCATTACAATTGGGAAAAGATTCTCTGTCATTTCATAAGAAAAAATAATTTTTTTTTTTAAATTTTGCGACACCAGGAGACACCTCAGGATTGGGGGTTGCGACAGTCAAGGGGTTAATATTGCAATGCAGGGTTTACACATTATAAGATATTATTACATATTATAAAATACTTATTACAAAGAAGGCCACTAGTATGCCTAGGTATGCCTAGGCATTTCAGGCAGACTAATACTAGTTCTTCCTCCATTCCTTAGTCACATTTCCAGGCCCTTCTTATATTACACTTGTCCTCCATTTTGAATTTTTATTCACGCAAAAAATTAGAAGATTTACTGTTATGCAAACTACATGTACTGTATTATTGTTATAATTGTATAAATAATGTCATTGCATTCCTAAATGTGTATTAGACTGGCCAGTTGGATGCATATTGGAATATGTGCAAAAATTTAACATTTCTGCTTTTCTGAGCTCAATTTCAAGCTAAAGTAAACTGTCGTTTAACACGGTAGTTACATTCTCGAAAACACTGTGTTGGACAAAACTGTGTTAGACAAACTGAAGAACTTATGAGACAAATAGGGTTACATTCCTGATAGCTCCCAAAAAGCCTAACAATTTTTTTAGACCTTCAGATCTAACAAAAATAAAAGGAATATGTAATTGTAGTTCATTGTCCTGATGTTGTTTTTACTGCTTAAGACTACAAATGCAACAGAAATAATAGTATTGCCTACCTTAAATTGTGGGTGCTGGTGTTTGTTGATGATTATGAAAAAGTAAGAGTCTAACTTCAAGTCATTCAGTAAGTCAGTCAAGTCATTCAGTCAGTAGTCAGTAAGTTAGTCAAGTCAGTAAATCAGTCAGTCAAGTCAGTAAGTCAGTCAAGTCATTCAGTAAGTCAGTCAAGTCATTCAGTCAGTAGTCAGTAAGTTAGTCAAGTCAGTAAATCAGTCAGTCAAGTCAGTAAGTCAGTCAAGCCATTCTGTAAGTCAGTCAAGTCAGTCAGTCATCACACAAACTCATATTTACCTCATTCTTTTTGTGTACAAAATGATGCTTCATTCTGGCTATAGGCTCTCTTGTCTAATATCTCTATTTTCTTCATTAATTCAAACTTAACCCTTTCAGGGTCCAGAGGCCATATCTCAAAGGGTGCACCAGGGTCCAAGAATTTTTGAAAAAAAAAAAATATTTTTCTTACAGAATTAAATAAAACAAAAAAAATTGATCAGTAGTTGACCCTCAGTGACCTGGTGGCGGCAACATCCGCAACATAACGTCTCATTATTTTCTTTTAAGTTTTTGTTACTTTTTTCTTTTCTTTTCTAATATTTTTTTCCAGTAACTTTTGTGGCCTGTGAGACCAATATAATGTATAATGCATAAATGTACACTCATTGTTTCAACACAATAACTGCACTAATTTATTTCAACTACCCAATATAGTGATTAGAAATTGGTAATTTGGCCAGTTTCACACAAATTTAAAAATATTCCAGTTTAAAAATATATTCCAGAATAAACAATGCAGGCATTCTTTGTACTAAAATAATATTTCCTCTGTTCACTAGTTATGTTTCCAGGCTTTACACATGAAATCCATTTTGATTTCTTATTCACACAAAAAAACTTTTATTCACAAAAAAAATAAAAGATTTACTGGTATGCAATTTTGTAATAACTGTATAAATAATATCAGCACATTCATGAATGCTTATTAGACCCACCAGTTAACGTTTATTGGATGCAAGACGTGATTTGTTTACTCTTGAACATTAGCCAAACCAAATGTTTCCCCTACTTTGAGCTCATTTTCAAGCTATTTTCAATACTAAAACCAATCAGTACTAAAACCAATGGTAAAAGGGCGAGAATTAGTATGGAATTGAAGAAAGAGATTAAGGAAATGTGTGACACAGCTACTGAAAGCCGTGTTGGCAACCTGTACAATGACAATGGTATGGCCCATTTTAGGAAAGTCTTAAAGGAACAGGAGGTACAGAGATCTATGGGCAGATTCATTGTGCGACAGAGGTCCAGTGACTCTTAAGCTGGTCCTATTGGCATTAAAAGAAGAAGGGAAGTAACCCCGGAAAAGGACTTGCTACCTCAAGTCCTAATGGAAGGGCATTCCTCTTCTAAACAATAACTTCCACACACTCCCCTCTTCCCATCCCATCAATCATCACCAGATCTTCAGTAAAGGTAAGCGTTATATACGTGTATTCTATTCTTAGTAGAGTAGTAATTGTGCATGTCTTCTTCAGTTTGTGTGTATTAAAATTAATATTTCATGTGGTAACAAATTTTTTTTTTCATACTTTGGGGTGTCAGGAACGGATTAATTTGATTTCCATTATTTCTTATTGGGAAAATAAATTCGGCTAACGATAATTTCGGCTTACGATGAGCTCTCAGGAATGGATTAATATCGTAAGGTGGGGTCCACTGTAATTGGAAAAATACAAAAAGTGAATTCTTGTGCAGTTTACTGTATTTAGCAATGAAAATTATAAACTATACTGTATTGGTTCCCACTATGTACTTGAAATAATGCATTCAAATTTTAATTGAGCTTTACTTTAAAACACAACTCACGAAAAAATACTGTATTATGTAGACTGATTGTTTTAGCCAACCCTTATACAAACTACTTTTCTCTTTATCAGAGGACAAAATTCTCTTGATGTTTAGTCATCTGATGTCTGAATTGGAGTTGTTGTTCAGTATTTTATAAATATAGTAGGTCCTCGGTTTATGGCGTTTCACCTTACAGCGTTTCACTAATACGATGATTTCAAATTACGGCCAAAACTCACTATATGGCTCCCCATCTTTCTAATATGGCATGCGCCACCTGATTTGTTTACATTCTCCATGAGCACCATGCCCCACCATTATGTTTGGAAACTTTCCAAAATTTCAAGTGTTTTAAAGTTATTTCATATTTTATATATGCTCTGATAATTATACTTATGTGTACCTGTACCTAAGTAAACTTACACACTGTGCTGGCATGCAGGTGCACATTAAAATCACTAAGAGTCTCTCTACTCTTGATGCCATATAATCTCTAGGGCACATTAAATATCATAAAACATTAATACCTATAGACATTTTGCTTAATCCATCTATGATTTTTTTTCAAAATTATATAATAAACATACTACATAATATGTAAACATGATAAATATACCCACAGTAGAATAAATTAACATAAATATGAGATGTTTTTCTAAACGGCTTGCCGGAGTGAACTAAAACCATACGTGTTCAGCTTGTTTCTTTACATAACTCACATCTGTCCTCTCTCATGTACTCATTCTCTGTCTCTGTCTCTCTCGCTCTCTCTCTTGTTTATTCATTTAATCTCATTTACTCACCTCTCACCCTACATTAAGACTACAAATATTAACCCGTTCAGGGTTTCCGACATACATATGGCTTACACACCAGGGTTATTCACATACTAGTACACATAAATTCTGGCGCCTTCAAATCTAGCGAGAGAAAGCTGGTAGGCCTACATATGAAAGAATAGGTCTATGTGGTCAGTGTGCACAGTATAAAAAAATCCTGCAGCACACAGTCCGCAATGAGAAAAAAAAACTATGACTGTTTTTTTGGTTTAAAACAGCGACTTTGCACTGTATTTTTGTATGGTATTTATGGTTGTATTCTAGTTTTCCTGATCTCATTTTATAGAATGGAAGACATATTACAGAAATTGGGATGATTTTGATTGGTTTCACAATGAAAAGTACCTTGAAATTGAGCTCAAAGTAGCAGAAATGTTTGATTTTTTCCAAAGTTCAAAAGTAAATAAATCATGCCATGCATCCAATACACATCAACTGGTGAGTCTGATATTCTTTCACAAGTGCGCTGATATTATTTATACCATTTCTACACTAATGCAGTAGACTGCATAACAGTAAAACTTCTGTTTTTGTGAGAATAAAAATTCAAAGTGGAAAGCAAAAGAAATGTAAGAGGGGCCTGGGGACATGACTAATGAACAGAGGAAATGTTATTTTAGTGCCAGGAATGTCTGTCTTGTTTATTCTGGACCCTATTTGGAAATTGGCATCTTTTGAAATTTGTGTGAAATTGGCAAAATTGCTAATTTCTGATCACTTTATTGGATAGTTGAAATCTGTAAATTGGTGGTTTCTTGTACTCATTCGATAGAAAAAATGGAGTTCTAGTAAAATAGTTATGAATTTTGTCGATTAGTACACTGGAATTGGCCGAAAATAGAGCTCAAAGTGGGCAAAATCACTGATGCATAAACATCATTAAGACTGCTAACTTTGCGAGAGCATAATTCCGTAAGTATTCCATAAAATTTCATACTTTTGGTGTCATTATGATTGGGAAAAGATTCTCTATGTTTTCATAAGAAAAAATAATTTTTTTTTTTCCAAAAAATTTTCGACCCTGTGAATAAGTTTAGGAGAGGGCCTCTCAACCCTAAAAGGGTTAAGGTAAGTAGTGAGTGCACTTTATATGCATTTTATCACTCTAGGGCACTTTAAATGCCTGGTATATAATGTGTAGGTGGGGTGGCCAGATGGGGTTACGATACCTACCACACTATTCAATCCCTACCTACCCTACTATTCACCTTGCACCCTATGTTAATACCATTAAGGCTACAAATATTTTAAGGCAAGTAATGAGTGTACACTATATGCATTTTATCACTCTAGGGCTCTTTAAATGTCAAAGTATATTGCATGTGGGTGGGGTGGCCTGGCTGGCTACCATGCCTACCACACCTAACTTGTTACGATAAACACTACTCACTTCTCACCTTACATTAAGGCTACAAATATTTTGAGGTAAGTAATGAGTGTACTGTGTGTATATTTTACTTTTTATTGTTTTTTAATGTCTTGTTCTATTGCTAACTTAATATATGTTAGTGTAAACTTATTATCTGACATGAGTGGAAACAAATGGTGTTCTGCTTTCCAGCGATGTCCACTTTTCGGCAGCAGCCTGGAACCTAACCTGCCATATAAATGGGGCCCTACTGTACCAGTTTTGCAACCTTCTTTAATTGTAATCTGTTCCAGAGCTTTTGAATTTGCCAGCCCTGATTAGGAAAATATTTGTTCTACACTGGCACTTGAAGCAGCTGCAGTATGCAGCCCACAGATGTTCTTTATGGCATTGCCACCAACCTTACCTTTTAATAAAATGCTTTCCACTGCAACAGGGAGCAAGATAAGAAAGAACAGATGAATCAAATAAATAGGTCTTAGTAAAAGGATTTGCCTTAGATTTTATGTTAATTATAATGTTTATTCTTAATAGCATATTAAAAAAAGTTTTTGTAAAAGAGGCTAAAAAATACTTAAATACATATTACAATCAACATATTACAATTGGTTTAAATAAAATTGTTTTTTGCCAACCCTAAAATTGTATACAGTACCGACAGGTTGTTAGGTAAGACACATATGCAACAGTTAGACAACTTTATTCTTGGAATAAAGTTGTCTAACTGTTGCATATGTGTCTTACCTAACAACCCTAAAATTAAAAACACACACTATACTTTTTACATTTTTAATTTAATTGATTCTGATGTTTAGTCATTTCTTTTCTACTAATTATGTGTCAACTTTGTCTTTTTTATATTAACTAAAATATATTGCAGGGTGAAGGAGGACAGGTAGCTGTTTTAGAGAGCACTACTTTCACCTCTGTGGGTCGTGACTGTACTTTGGATTTCTGGCACTTCTTGGCTACTGATACCAATGAAGAATCCACTCTGACTCTATTTAGGAAAACCGAAGAAGATGAAGTAAGGATATACTTCACTTTAAAATAATAATAAATCGTGGCATTTTGGTGTGCTTAATATAATATTCAGTATTTACTAGTAAATGGGCAAATGAGTAGATAGGTGGTTAAGTAAGTGTATGAATAGTTAAAAGTGAGCGGGCAAGTGGATAAGTAAGTGACCTGATGTCTAGATAAGTGAATGAATTCATTACAAAGTGAATGAATGGATAAGTTACTAGATAAGCAAATGGACAAGTGGCTAGGTAAGTGAATGTACAAATGGCTCGGTAAGTGGATGGATAAGTTGCTAGGAAAGTGAATGGGTGTCTGGGAAGTGCATGGGTGTCTTGGTAAGTGAATGGTGGCTAGGTAAGTGAATGGGATGATGGCTAGGTAAGTGAATGGGCCAGTGGCTAGGTAACAGAATGAATAGGTGGCAAAGCATGTGAATGGGTGGCTAAGTATGTAAATGAAAGGTGGCTTGGTAAGTGAATGGACAGGTGACTAGGTAAGTGAATGGGAGGATTCCAAGGTGAGGGAATGAAATGTTGGCCAGGAAAGTAAATGGATTAATTAGTGGATAGTTAAATTTGTAAATGGACATCTAGCAAGGGAAATGAATAGTTAGATAGTAAGTGCAGCGATAGATCACCAGGTAGTGAGTCAAGGAATATAAAAGTTACTAAGCAAAACATTGCGTTTGTCCAGCTGTGTATATCTAGTGAAGATGTTGACTCACAAAATCGTAATGATGCGATTGCAAACTAACCACAGTATGGGAGAGAAATGAACTCATGGCAAGTGAGTCATATTGTATCCAGCTGGTCCAGTGGCTTATGCACTGGCCTGGAGTTTTACAACTCTCTTACCATGAGTTCAATCCCCACCTGTACTGTGGTTAGTGGAGATGTTAAAAGTCATATAGTAGAGCACCTATTGCAGCCTCTCCATGTCATGTCTTTGTGCAGGGTTTTTCACCTTCTCTCTATATTTTTGCCATAAGCTTATGTGTAGGCATATTCTTTGTGAAAAAGTTTCACAGGCTAATAATATATTGTTTTCATAAAAAAAAGGAATTAAAGTTTGTAATTTTATTATTTTCATTGTACAGGCACATGGACTACCAGCAGAAACCTTATGGGTGGGAACATCTTTATATTCAAATGGTTGGTCAAGAGAATACATACATATTAATGGAAAGAGGGACTTCACCCTACATTTTAAAGCCAATCATGGTCCAGGGGGAGTGAGTAGAAGAATTATGCACTTTGTTTCTTAAGCCATCCATCACATTTGGTATATTTCTGTCTTACTGTACAATACATATTTGCTGTGTTACTTGCTTATAACTCATTTGCTAATTTTATTATACATGAGTATTGTACTTACTGTAGCCCCACACCCCATAGCTTGCACACTTGCTATGTATCCTAGGCGAAGTAAAATAAAATATTTGAGAATTATTGTTATTCATACATTAGCACTTATAATGGCCATAAAGACCTTGACAGTAAATGAAGCACATCTAGGCAATTTATTTAAATAAGAATGATTGGAGTATACCTGGAAGGTATTCCATGACATCAACGACCCTGCAGCCCAATCCATGACCAGGCCTCACGGTGGATCAGGGCCTGATCAACTAGGCTGTTACTGCTGGCCTCATGTAAACATATATGAACCACAGCCTGGCTGGTAAGGTACTGGCTTTAGGTTTCTGTCCAGCTCACTCTTGAAGACAGCCAGGGGTCTATTGGTAATTCTCCTTATGCATGCTGGGAGGCAGTTGAACAGTCTTGGTCCCCTGACACTTACTGTGTTGTCTCTTAGCATACTCATGGCACCCATGCTTTTCATTGAGGGAACTTTGCACCACCTGCAGAGTCTTTTGCTTTCATAGGGAGTGATGTCAATGTTAAACCAGTATGAGTTTTTCAGCATTTCTGAGCACCCTGCTACTACCAGTAGAAGTGAAGTTGGAAATAAATGGTATAAAATACCGACACAATGGCAATATAAACACAAATGCAGTATAATGTGATCCTTTATTGACTACGTTTCGCCCACACAGTGGGCTTTTTCAAGTCACAAACAGAACTACCTGGGGTGGAAGGAACGCGAGTATTTATAGTCCGGCTGAGGTCAGGTGAAGAATGCTGCATCTGATGATGTACCGAGTTGGGTTGATAGAGTCTAAAAACTTGGGTAGCTTGGAAAGGAGACTGGACAAGTTTGTGAGCAGATCTTCTACAGTGTTCTTATGTGGGATAGCGATGAAGAGTTCTTGGCAAGTGGTTCAGCTATGTTATAGAAGCCACTATTCTGGTTGAAGTTGTCGGATATAGAATAAGTGATGATTCCAGGATTCTTCGGTATTGAGTGTTGTCTTCTGTGGCGATAAGTCTTGAGTTCTGTAGTTTATCAAGTGTTGTGTGAATTACGGTGTTGTACGCAGGCATTCCTTGTGTCGTCAGACCTGCTTGCGTATTGGTGTTCTGAATATCGTGTTTGGAGGTCCTTGATGTTTCGCCACGTATAACTTGTTGCAGTCATTAACAAGGGATTATGTATACCCGCAGAGGATGGAGGCTTGTCCTGCCTACTACTGGTGATGTCCTTGATGGTCGTGGTTGTGGAGGTAGATACTTGGAATGATGTTTTGGCAAAGATGTTGGAAACATGTTTTGCAATGGAGTTGGTGGGAAGGACTATGTATCTCTTCTCGGCAGTGTCTTCTCTGGGTGTGTTGAAGATGTTTAGTGCTCGCCGTCTGCAGTCTCTGATGAAGTGACGAGGATAGTGGAGTTTGGAAAATACTTGTTCAATTATAGTGCATTCTTCCTTAAGGAACTCGTTGCTGCAGATTCTGAGTGCACGCAGGAAGAAGCCTATAATTACACCACGGTCGAGCCTTCAATCCAGTTCACACTTGAAGAAGAGGTCGACAACACTCTTCCTTTCCTTGATGTTCTACTCTGCAAAGCTGACCACGAACTTCGTTTTAAAGTCTATCGAAAACCCACCAACCAAAACGATCTTCTCCACTTCTACTCTCACCACGACACCAAAACCAAACGTGGTGTAATTATAGGCTTCTTCCTGCGTGCACTCAGAATCTGCAGCAACGAGTTCCTTGAGGAAGAATGCACTATAATTGAACAAGTATTTTCCAAACTCCACTATCCTCGTCACTTCATCAGAGACTGCAGACGGCGAGCATAAACATCTTCAACACACCAGAGAAGACACTGCCGAGAAGAGATACATAGTCCTTCCCACCAACTCCATTGCAAAACATGTTTCCAACATCTTTGCCAAAACATCATTCCAAGTATCTACCTCCACAACCACGACCATCAAGGACATCACCAGTAGTAGGCAGGACAAGCCTCCATCCTCTGCAGGGGTATAACATAATCCCTTGTAATGACTGCAACAAGTTATACGTGGGCGAAACATCAAGGGACCTCCAAACACGTATTTCAGAACACCAATACGCAAGCAGGTCTGACGACACAAGGAATGCCTGCGTACAACACCGATATTCACACAACCACTTGATAAACTACAGAAACTCAAGACTTATCGCCACAGAAGACAACACTCAATACCGAAGAATCCTGGAATCATCACTTATTTCTATATCCGACACTTCAACCAGAATAGTGGCTTCTTAACATAGCTGAACCACTTGCCAAGAAACTCCTTCATCGCTATCCCACATAAGAACACTGTAGAAGATCTGCTCACAAACTTGTCCAGTCTCCTTTCCAAGCTACCCAAGTTTTTAGACTCTACAACCCAACTCGGTACATCATCAGATGCAGCATTCTTCACCTGACCTCAGCCGGACTATAAATACTCGCGTTCCTTCCACCCCAGGTAGTTCTGTTTGTGACTTGAAAAAGCCCACTGTGTGGGCGAAACGTAGTCAATAAAGGATCACATTATACTGCATTTGTGTTTATATTGCCAGAAGTGAAGTTTCCAGAGAAACAGACAAAGCTAGAAAGATAGTAATTTCATGGATGTTAAATATTATGTTAGAGTACAGGTGATTTTTAAGGTTTTCATCCTTCTATCCACAGACACATATAGCTGTTGATGATATCCAATTTAGACTTTGTGAACCAACCATTGGAGAATGTCAGACCAGCACAGACTTCCAGTGTATTGATGGCTCGTGTATTCCCTATCAGTATGTCTGCGATGCTAAATATGATTGCATAGATAAGAGTGATGAATATAATTGTACATATGTGGAGGTAAGTACACGTACTGAAAATTAAATATTTATAAAAGAGGTATAATAATTTAGAAGGTAGTAGGTTGGTAAACAGCAACCATCCAGGGAGGTACTACCGTCCCGCCAAGTGAGTGTAAAACGAAAGCCTGTAATTGTTTTACATGATGGTAGGATTGCTGGTGTCTTTTGTCTGTCTCATAAATATGCAAGATTACAGGTAAGTCTTGCTACTTCTACTTACACTTGGGTCACACTACACATACATGTACAAGCATATATATATACACACCCCTCTGGGTTTTCTTCTATTTTCTTTCTAGTTCTTGTTCTTGTTTATTTCCTCTTATCTCCATGGGGAGGTGGAACAGAATTCTTCCTCTGTAAGCCATGCATGTCGTAAGAGGCGACTAAAATGCCGGGAGCAAGGGGCTAGTAACCCCTTCTCCTGTATATATTACTGGGTTTAAAAGGAGAAACTTCAGTTTTTTCTTTTGGGCCACCTCACCTCGGTGGGATACGGCTGGTATGTTGAAAGAAGAAGTATAATAATTTCAGTTACAATAATCATATTACTAAAAATCTCTATTTATGCATTACAAGAATTAAACAAATTTAAAATCCAAGACAAATACTTATCTCAAATATTGCTGGACATCTTTGTGGTTTTCTCTCTTTTACACACTGAAGGATGTATTTATTATTATAAAGCAGTAGTAGGTAGTAGGTTGGTAGACAGCAACCATCCAGGGAAAACGAAAGCCTGTAATTGTTTTACATGATGGTAGGATTGCTGGTGTCTTTTTTCTGTCTCATAAACATGCAAGATTTCAGGTATGTCTTGCTACTTCTACTTACACTTAGGTCACACTACACATACCTGTACACGTTTATGTATACACACTCGTCTGAGTTTTCTTGGATTTTTATCTTAAAATAGTTCTTGTTCTTATTGCTTTTTCTTTTATATCCATGGGGAAGTGGAATAAAAATCTTTCCTCCGTAAGCCATGCATGTTGTAAAAGTCAACTAAAATGCCGGAAACAATGGGCCAGTAACCCCTTTTCCTGTATAGCCTACTAAAAAGATTTAAATTCTGTAGGGGAAGGAAGGCGGGGTAGGGGTCGTCCTCGGAAAGGCTGGAGGGAGGGGGTAAAGGAGGTTTTGTGGGGGAGGGGCTTGGACTTCCAGCGAGCATGCGTGAGCATGTTAGATAGGAGTGAATGGAGACGAATGGTTTTTGGGAACTGATGAGCTGTTGAAGTGTGAGCAGGGTAATATTTAGTGAAGGGATTCAGGGAAACTGGTTATTTTTATGTAGCTGAACTTGAGTACCGGAAATGGGAAGTACCATGCCTGCACTTTAAAGGAGGGGTTTGGAGGGATATGTTACATATGAGAGATTTTTATCTTTGTATATGCTTCTAAACTGTTGTATCTGAGTGCTTCTGCAAAAACAGTGATTATGTATGAGTGAGGTGAAAGTGTTGAATGATGATGAAAGTATTTTTGGTTCACCCTGGCACTGCGAAAGACAGCCAACTTGTTGAAAAAAAAAAACATAAATATAGCATTTGAACATATCAGGATTCAAAATACATTTTTCCTCTTAATATTAGATTCAAATTGACCTATTTAATTAAATTAACTTTCCAGATATATTCTGATGCCAATAAAATGTTGAAAAGATTAAATTAGGAAATTGTAGTTTTAATTTTAATAAATGCTTAGGACTATTGAATGAAATACGTACTTCATTCACAAATAGTAGATTATTATTATGTTCATGAGGGGAAGCAGTAAACTGATAGGGGTCATACAAATCACAGAACAGGGTCATACAGTGCCTATGGGAAATAGCAGATCAAGTTTGATCCAAGGAAATAGTAACTCCAACTCTTCGGATCAAGAGCCTTTCACTGACATCAAGGCACATCCTGTTCCTTCATTACAGGGCACAAATTACTGAGTGAAATCTTTTAAGCTCTTTGTAAGCAGTAATAATAATAGCTTATTTCCACAGTGTACGTACTTATCTAAAAAAAGTAGAAATGCTGTTTCTTGAATAATTTCTATGTCTTTTGCATTAGCTTAGCATTATTATTATTTTTGTTATATTCATAGGAAAGACTAAGCCCTGAGGGGCCACACAAAGCCTGGGAAATGGGGATAATTTGAGAAAGAGAGGGAGGATAGTTCCAATTCATTGAATCAAGAGCTCTTCACCAGCATCCAGACAACTCCCTTGAAGGGTGTAGCTTAGTAAATTTGATAGTATTTTGGTGATCAAAACTTTGTTTAATTGCAGGTTACTCAGTTAGAAAGCCCCAAGTTAATGCTCAGTCAGAACGATATGTATAGGTAAGCCTCCTTATATTTGCTTTCCTTGTTCACTTAGCTGTAAATGGGTACCTGGGTGTTGGCCAACTGTTGTGGGTCACATCCTGAAGAGGTAATGTAGTAGAAAACTCAAGACATGCAGTCATATCTCACATTTTCAGTATAAGTATACCCATAAACAAATTTGCTGATAACACCAAAATAGGCCATCCAATTCATTCTAATGAGGACATTAGAACTCTCCAGGATGATTTGAATAGACTGATACAATGGTTGGAGAAGTGGTAGATGCAGTTGAATATAACCATCCCACATATAAACTAAATATGTAATGTAGATCTTAATATTACAGATTGTGAAAAGGATTTAGGAGTTCTGGTTAGCAGTAATCTGAAACTAAGACACCAGTGCATAAGTGTTCAAAATAAAGCTAACTGAATCCTTGGTTTCATATCAAGAAGTATAAATAATAGAAGTCCTCAGATTATTCTTCACCTTTGTATAGTATATCTTTGGTTAGGACTCATTTAGAGTATGCTCCACAGTTTTGGTCCCCATATTTCAGAATGGATATATGTAAATGCACTGGAAAACATACAAAGGAGAATGACAAAGTTGATCCCATGTATTAGAAATCTTCCCTATAAGAATAGACTGAGGGCCCTGAATCTGCACTCTCTAGAAAGGCATAGAATTAGGGGGAATAATAAAGGAATTAATAAAGGGGATGTAAATAGTGTGCTAAAAATATCTCGCATAGGACTTGCAGCAATGGTTTTAAGTTGGAAAAATTCAGATTCAGGAAGGATATAGGAAAGCACTGGTTTGGTAATAGAGTTGTGGATGAGTGGAACAAACTCCCGAGTACCATCATAGAGGCTAAGACGTGTAGTTTTAAAAACAGGTTGGATAAACACATGAGTGGGTGTGGGTTGGACCTGACTAGCTTGTGCTACTAGGTCAGATGTCGTGCTCCTCCCTTAAGTGAATGTGACTCACCTGACTAGGTTAAGGCATTGGCTTAAGCCAGTGGGAGAATTGGACCTACCTCGCATGGGCCAGTAGGCCTGCTGCAGTGTTTCTTCTTTCGTATATTCTTATATATCCATTAAGGCACGTGGGAGCAGAATTAATTTCCATTGGTGGCATGCATTTCCATTAAGGAGCATTTAAGCAGGAAGGTAGGAGACCCATTACAAATATATTGGGCAACTCAGTTGTTTAGTGCTGCAGAGGAGGGTGAACAAATATAAACAAACAGCCTCCCATGTAAGTCAGTGTATATCATTATTCAGTTTATCCTTCATCACTATCTTGTTTATGGATATTTATCATGGTAACCATACAAGGTGTAGGTGATGCTTGTGAAGCAAGGGAAAAAAAATAATAGTGAAAATATGCCTATTTTGAAAAAATAGAGATAATTGAGATGATGAAAATGTGTCATGGCGAAGACACAAGTGTTTGGTATTAAATGATTCCTTCAGTTCAAAACAATGAGAAGAAGATAATGGCTTGTGTAATGAGTAATCCTCACTGTTTCACTGAAAAAAAATGAAGATGTCATTACAGTTCACCCCTTAACTGTCCAAACATAGATCTACATTCTTACTGCTAGCTTTCCAAACATAGATCAACGTTTTATTTTTCCTGCCTCCAAATTTGGCACAATTGGCCTGAGATGCCTGGTCAATATAGAATGGGTCTTAACACTTGGTGTGTGCGGTAGTAAAAGAATCTGGGACCACTTAGTACCTTATGGGAGCACCAGTTCAATTGAGTGCCAGCTAGAGCAAACAGCATGGCAAATATCAGGGATTCACTGATATTATGTTGTATTAAGACTCCCCTTTTAAGAGGAAAGTGATGTTGACTCTTAGTTTTGTGACTTTGAGATAGTTGTGGCCACAAGTGGTTGAAGAAATATAAAAAATCTCGATAATAATAACCCATGTGCCACATTTGTGCAATATCTTTCTATTTTGATACCACTGGTAGTGTCATCCTGACAGAATGTTCTATAACCTATGCCCTAAGTAAAGAGAAACAATTCTGGAACATGTGTAATACATGTTCAGCAGGCTAGCTGGCTGGTTGGCTCGCTGATTGACTTTGGCTGTCTCTATCTCCATCTGTCTGTCTGTATCTATCATTGTCTCTGTCTATCTCTGTATCTATCATTGTCTCTGTCTATCTCTGTCCGCATTCTTTTTTTTGTTACTCTGTCTATGCTGTCCACAGGTACACAAAACACAGTTATATTCTATTTTAAATTTACCAGGATAACCCATTACTGAACAATAATGAACTCCATGCACTGTAACAATAATAAACCCAATTCCATATTTAATGGATTGTGTCTTTTGTTTTAAAAAACTTGTTGGCAAAGATTTTGTCAGTTAAATCTGAACTCCATTAAATCGGGGTTCTAGTGAATGGTTCAGAGAACCGACACGTTGAAAAAATTAGAAGTTGAACTGTTTTTCAAAGAGGGATGACCACACGACTCAAGTTGAGGGACTGATTACCTTGTTCTCCTCCGTTTTCAAAATTTCCCCTTTTGTATGGACCTGATAACCCAAATGTGTCAAAACATTTCCTAAATAAAGAACCCAAAGTTGCATGTTCTAATTTATCAAATCGGGTTCATTAAATTAATTCTACCATTTTGAAAACTGCTACTTTTTTCTGAAAACTTTGCATTTAGAAACATGATTAATGAAAAAAATTTTGCAGAACTCATGGTAATGTACACCAAACCCTGGTAAGTTGATAAGGTACTGTGAACATTTTTAGTGCTTTTTTTGCTAGTATCTTTATTTTGTTTTGCAGGGAACGAAAATTTTGATTCAAATCATGGTTGGATAATTGCATCTACATTCAGCAAAAAGGATGAGATTTGGGCTGGGAAAGACAGATTCCCAGGAAACGATTTATGGCCCTCACCTGATAACACTTGGCCAAATGGATTTATTTTGCTTATGAGTTTATCATGTTTTTTAAACATGACGTAAGGATTATGGGTAGTGGGTTTGGTGACAGAAACCCACCCAGGAAGTACTACCGTCCTCCCAAAATGACGTGAAACAAAAACCTGTAATTGTTTTGCATGATGGTAATTGTGGTTTTTTTTGTCTGTTCAAAAACACGCTAAGATAACAGGGTATCTTGCTACTCCTACTACACTTTGGCACACTTAAAAAGAAGCACAGCATATATAAATATACATACATTAGGTTTTCTCCTTTTTTCTAAATACTCTTGTTCTTTTTTATTTCTTCTATTGTCCGGGGGAAGTGGAAAAGAATCTTTCCCGAAAAACCCATGCGGTCGAAATGAGGCGACTAAAATGCCGGGGCAAGGGCTATAACCCCTTTCTCCTGTAAATAATTACAAAAAAGAGAAGAAAAAAACTTTTTAAAATGGGGTTTCTTAAATTGGGTGGGTTAGGCGGATGACAAGAAACAAGATTTCGATGTTGAATGAAAAGAATTGGGGTCCTGGGCCCCAAGCGAAACAAGCTGAAGGGGGTGGAGAGTTTCAGTGGGGGGAAAATAAAAGGGATTAAATTTTTGGAGATCTGAAGGGGTTTGAGCAAAGGAAGGGTAGCAGTAATGTTAATGATCAGTTAGGAGGAAAAAGAGAATTGAATGTGTAATTCAAGAAAATTTTGTGGATTAAGAAAGGTTGGGTGCGAGAATGGGTCATAATAAACGTTAGCACCAGGGGAAGAGAGGATGCAGGGAGAGAGAGAATTTTTGGGAGATTTAATAATTTTAGGGGCCTTTAACCAATGAGAGATAAATTTTGGGAGGGGGCTTGAATGCTAAAAGTAGGAGAAACTTTTTAAAAGGGTGGTAGGAAGTTTGGGGGGGCCAGGTGTAAATGATAATTGGGGGCCCTTTTATTGAACTTTTTTAAGAAAGGGGTTTATTATAGGTAAAAAAATTTTAAGAAAAAAAGGGTAAATAATATACACGATATGGTAGGGCGAAATGACAGTGTTTTTGGATTTTTTTTATTTGGGAGATAAAAGACGTTGAGTAACTTTAGGGGTACATTTTATAGGGGGCCCAGAATAAGCACTTCATTGTAGCTCACTGAGAGTAAAAGGAATGGGTACAAGAATAGAAGCATCAGGAAGAAAAGGTGAAGGTTTTAAACTAAAAGAGGGGGCAGTTTGGGTAAGATTAAACACTTTGGGGGAAGATGGGGTAATGAGGAAGGCAATGGGGTCGAAGAGTATGGGGAGGGTTTAAAAATGTATTGTTAGAGTGTTCAGCAAAGTTTTGTGGTTTGGAAAATGGGGGCAGGAGGGAAGAGGGGGCGATTGGTGGAATGTGATGTAAAGAGAGTAGTAAGGGGGAAAAAGTTAGATATGAGAAGTTTTTACAAAGTAGAAATGATGCAAGGGGGGAAGAGTATATGGAGAAAAAGAGAGGGTTAAAAGAGTGGTGAAGAATGTAAAAAGAAGGGGAAAAGAGAGAGTGGGGGAGATGTTTAAAAATTTTGTTGAAAAAAAAAAAAAGTTTTGGAGGAGATTAACAAAATTTAAAAAAAGCCAGAGAACAAAGGGTTTGTCAGTTAAAAATAGGAGAGGAGAGTTTTTTAAATGGAGATTAAGGTATTGGGAAGATGGAGGGAAAATTTTTTAGGATTGTTAAATTTGATGAAGATAGGGAATGGATTTCGTGTATAGGGCAAGGGGGAATAACACTTGTGGAGTGAGGAAGGCCAGTTGTGAGTGTGGGGGAAGTTCGTGAGGGGGAGTAGGAAAATGAAAAAGGGGGTAAGGCAGCCCGGGGTTTATGGATAAATAAAATGTTTTAAAAACGGGGGGGGATATGTTTTGGATGGGTTTGGGCATTGTTTTTAAAAAATGTAGGAAAGGGAAAGGGACCTAGGGATTGGGAAGAGCAGCTATTTCCCCTTTTTAAAAGGAAAAAAAAAAAAAAAATAAAAAAGAGTCAAAAATTATAGGGGGGTAAGTCTGTTGAGTGTA